GCACCCTGCCACAATTATGCTAGTCTCGATTTTGTCATCGATGAAATAATTATCAGACATAAATGAGCTAACTCATGTAAAACCATTAACACTCATGTAGTAAAATTATGATATGAAATGTTTAACAATTTTTATTTACCCAATCCTATAATCACTAAAATGGAATCGTTTTTCGTGACTTGTCATCCTGCAGGGGTCAATTTCTTTCTAATGTAAAATCTACCCATCAAATCTCCCCATCCTTCACTATATTAAGTGAATTTATTTACTGTGTAGTTACTTTTCTATTGCTGTGATGAGACGCCATGACCAAAACAGCTTACAAAGGAAAGCATCTAACTGGTCTTACAGTTTCAGAGGGTAGGTCCATGACCATCACGCTGGGGAGAAAGGCAGAGAGCAGGCAAGCATGATGCTAGAGCAGTAGCTACACCTGATCCACTCCCAGAGAGGGAACCAGGGAAGGAGGGAGGGAGGGAGGGAGGTAGGGAGGGAGGGAGGGAGGGAGGGAGGGAGGGAGGGAGGGAGGGAGGGAGAGGGAGATTGGGCCTCATATGGGCTTTTGAAACTTTAAAGCCTGCCCCCAGTGACACACCTCCTCCAACAAGACCATGCCTCCTAAATTTCCCAAAACAGTTCCATCAACTGGGGACCAAGCATTCAAATATGAAGGTCTATGGGGACCACTCTCATTCAAACCACCACAGTGCATTATATAGGAAGATGGTATATACAAACAGGGTTAGCAATATCAAAAAACCTTATTTAGGCATAAGTTGATGATAAATTCATTTCCTAGTTCAAAACAATATTCAGTACTTCACAGCCTTTTGGATGAGATCAAATGTCTAGTGATGTTTAACCTGCTGACCACAAAGGTGATGCTTTCTTCCTACATTAGCTACTGCTTTCTACCCCAGTCCCAGTGGGCAGCATCTATTTTCTGTTGTTCTCTGGTTGTCCTAGGACATCTCAGGTGAGCAATTATTCCTTTCTTAAAAGGCCACACTACATTCTTCCTACTTTGGATAAACATATTAACCATAACCCAATCATTTTAGCTAACCATCACATATTCCTTTCCATAAACTCCCTTCTGACTGTTGCAGGCTTATGTGTGCCATCTAGGGAACCTTAGGCTTAGACTCTGTTTTCCATCTCTATAGTGAGTGCTCTTAGAAGAGTCAATTTTGGATACTGACTCAGAGATTCACTAAGTGACTCATAGGAATGGGAGTAATATAGCAGCATTAGCTGGCTTCACAGACCACTAAAAATCTATACAATTAATGTCATGCCCTTGAATTTAATTCAAAATTAAGCTGCAAGCTGGTACATGTGGCGGAATAAGGGATGTTATATTCCCAGGGACAGCCCCTCAGGCAATGATGCCACCACTGCCTGGTGACATCCTCCATGGGGCCATGCAATAGAAATCCCTATATCTGTTTTCCAAGACACTACATTTGTTGTTGCTGTTGTTGTTTTAAAGTTAGCAGAGAAATGTTATCAGAGCTCTGTCTGGATGAAAGCGTTATTGATACAGTAGTGAGAAACCCTGCCCACCGCCACAGGTGAGATGAGACTTCGGGAGGGACCGGATGGTGAAACATTAAAAGTGAACCAGATGATTAAACTTAATGGAACATGCACATTAAACTGAGATTAGTACAAATATGCCTTGGGCAACCTACAACCTTTTATTTGTTGTTGTTTAACTTCTGTCTCTTCCAGTGGCCATGATAAATGACATCACAAAGGAAAAAGTCCAATTAAAATCTAAGTGCTCAATAAACCCCTAATGTCTGCTTGTTGCCAGTGCTCTCATAAGCACTGGAGCCTTCTATTTTCTTTCTTTCCCAAGAATAGAGACAGAGCTGGCCCCAGGGGTGTTCGGTGGCAGGGCAGGAGTGAGGAGAGAGGAGGGGCTGGTGGGAGATTTTGCAGCCTGCACTTGCACTGTCAGACCCGGAAAGCTCATGTTTGGGGCTGAGAGGAGGGAGGGCGTTAAATTGTTTTATTATCAGGCCATGCTTGAGTAAAGCGATACACTTTCCGTCTGGTTTTCAAATATTGATAAATCAGAACTGTGATCTGCAGCACAGTCCCTGTTCACACTTTCGGGCATCTCCCCTCTGCCTCTCTCTTGTCTCCCGTGTTTGTAGTATAATTCATGGAAATGGTCGCTTCTGACAGCTAAAAATAAGTTTCTGATTACTTTTACCTAAATAAATCTTGTGACCGGATGTGGCATTCGCCAACTAAGTGGGCAACAATTACACATTGAAGATGATAAAAGAAGCAGCCAAGAAGAGTCTATAATCTAGTGGAATAAAGAATATAATAAATCACAAGTAAAGGCAGCAGTTACCACCAGGTACAAGAATACTGGCTTTTCCTAACAGATTTTACCTCAGAGATAGTAAGTGTTTACAAAATTGAGTTTCAATGGTCTTCACAAAAGTTCTCAAAGTCAGAAAAGCAAAGACATGCTGATGACAAAATCCACAGCTGATAGTCATGCTCGTAGAATATTTTCCATTTAGAAGGCTCTTTATAACTCATAAAACATATACCGTGCTTTATTGCATGTTTATGTGGCAATTAATGAGGTATTTGTATATGGCCTCTAATTAGTTCCTCGCAGCCGCTTGTCCTGCAGCTCTTATTATCCTCATTTTACTGATAAGGGTCCTGGCTTGGAAGCTTAATTGACTCTGCTGTGGTCTTACACCAGGTAAGGGACACAGTGAACGTGACCTGCACTTAAGACTTAGATTCACATCCTACACGTGGCACCCTGCTGTCAACCACAGATACTGACCGCGGCTGCAGGGCACAGTGGCCCAGGAGTGTGCATCCGAAGGGCAGCAGTGGTGCTTGCTTTACTCGTGAGCTAATAAAATGGCTTTTGAAGAGCTCTCTTCAGTCATTAGAATCTGTCAATGGAGAGTTAACTTTTCCCTAGTGGCTCTTTCTATGTCATGGTGGTTTCGGCATTTCCTTGGCATATCACATTACACAAATCATAGAGCGCTCTTGTTTTACATTTCTTATTGCATTTGTCTCACTTCTAAGCAATTCCCTCCCTGTTCGCATTTTATCTTCCATTATTTCTGCCAAATTGCTTTCAAAGCTACTAATTGTATGAATAATATTCTCGTTCTCAAATTCAGTGATTAACTCAGTGTAGCTGTGTGACAGTGGCCACAGTCTCTCTAGCTCCAGAAATGAGGACATTGCACCAAATATTCTACAGGGCACCTTCTTGCTGCCAGAGTCTCATCTTTGACTCTCACTTGAGCTGGGTGTGATTTTGAAACACTACATAAATTGGAACTTTGGGTTTCTTTCCTCTACTGTGACAGATAAGATACTGAGGATTATAAAAGAAACTTTCGGCGAAGGCTGTCACAGGCCATACCCAAAAAGCACTAAAGCTCTAGAAAGCCATGTTAAACAATGTCAGGCCACATAAAGTCTGACATTCAGACCCTCATAGCCATTCATATGTTAGTAGGTGACTCCAAGAAGGAGGCAGATCAAGTATTTCCCAAGTCACAGGACTCTCTTTCCCTCTGTGTCCTATGCAGTAGATAGGGCACAGAACATGTTTTTAGGAAACTGCTTAGAACATCAGTTCCCTTTTGCTTTGAGAGTCCATCTGTAGGTATTCTAGAACAGAGGTTCTCAACTTATGGGTCACAACCCCTTTGAGGATCAAATGGCCCGTTCATGGAGGTCACCTAAATCCATAGGAAAATACAGATTTACGTTATGATTTATAACAGTAGCAAAATAATGTTATGGTTGTGGGTCACCACAACATGGGAACTGTATTAAAGAATCACAGTGTTAGGAAGGTTGAGAACCACTACTGCAGAAGCTATCTTTCATGCAGTGTTGATCAGGTACATGGATGTTTGCCTACTGTAGTTACCAGGTCAGCCAGTCCTCCATGTGAAGCCTGCAAGGAGATTCTGTAAACAACATGTCTGTGATCATGGGTGCCTGTGACTTCAGCTGTTAAATGGTCCTTCTCAACAACAACCAAACACACTGTGGGAAATCGTGAACAGAGTTAGACTGCTAGGGGACCTAAACTGTTGATAGGTAGAAGAAAAAGAATTTAGGAACCCAGCTCTGAAATGGAATCTTTGGGTTAGGATGCAGAAATGACCTCTCCGACTTAGGGTCATCACCTTGCACTCTTGTAGGTCCACACATTCACTTAATTCTATATTTCCCTCTGAACCATTTCACTGACAGTGAATCTTCATCACCCCAGCTTGCTTACTTTCAAGAGCTGGGGTGGAGTGTCAGGTCTCACTGTCATATAAGGCTGATAGTTTCAAGTTTAGGTTGTCTCTACTAAATTCCAAGTGCCGGGTGCCATTGTCCCACAGAACTGATGGACTGGCCAGTGACACGGGCCTTAAACTGAAACAGATAAGCAAACAAACACATATGACATCACCCCAGAAAACAGATTGTAGTCTCCATTCACTCGTGTGATTGCCTAGGTTCCATAATTCACAGACTATCCCCACATGTCTCTGATGCAAACACCATCATCCTTTTGAGCAGTGGAGCACTCAGAGAATGAGTATGTATACACAGTGACTAGGAGAGCCCACTCACAGGGTCTGCCATCCAGAGTGAAAAGATTCGTCCAGTCTAACTTACATGGTCTCGGGATCTTAAAATTGCTTCTGTCTTTAGTTTTTTCTTCTTCAAAATAAGAAAGATTGAGACATTTTCTATTTCATTCTAGTAAATTCTATGATTAAGAAATATGTGCATTAATGGATGGTATTTTCTATCAGAGGGTCATGTCAGTAATTTTAAGTAGTTAAAAGAAAAAAACAGCTGTACAGCTGTACCTGCCTTTGGAAAATGTTAATATCAATTAACAAATAGTTAAGGTAGACTACATGGTAAGAATGAAACATTTAGGTAAAAATGACTTTTTTTTTCTTTAATTTTTTTCCCTATACTAGTTACATTCAGACCAGGATAGAGGAGATGGATCACTTAAATATATCCTTTCAGGAGATGGGGCAGGAGATCTCTTCATTATCAATGAAAACACAGGCGACATACAGGCCACCAAGAGGCTGGACAGGGAAGAAAAACCTGTTTACATCCTTCGAGCTCAAGCTATCAACAGAAGGACAGGAAGACCCGTAGAGCCTGAGTCTGAATTCATCATCAAGATCCATGACATCAATGACAATGAGCCAATATTTACCAAGGATGTTTATACAGCCACGGTCCCCGAGATGGCTGATGTTGGTGAGTGAGATGCAAGTTCCACAGGGTGGAATCTCCACACCCACCAAGGGAAGAACCCTGAGCCAAATTTAATGAAAGAATTTAGAAGCCAAATCCCAAAACTACCGTATGTTCTTTTTATAAGTGCACCCTGTTGTCTAATGTCACCCTGGTCTTATCTTTGACTACTGTATGAAAAGGGCATTTCCTATAATGATAAGGGTATAACAGCAGCAGGGAGAGACAGGGAGTGAGCAAGGAAGGCTACCTCATCTGCTTTCTCTCCAAATTTCTTGGACTGAGAGACAGCAGTCTAGTCTATTGTTCTCAGCCAACATCACAATTAGTCTGGGGCAGAAGGCAATCTTCCCAGTTAAAAATTGAAGCCTGGATTTCTAGTCCATCCTCAAAAATGCTGATAGGGCCAGAAAGATGACTCAGCAGGTAAAGGTGCTTACCTCAAAAGCCTGATGACCTGAGTTCAATACCAGACTCAACAGGAAAGTGGAAGGAGAGGACGACTCCATAAAAATGCTCTCTGACCCCAGAAACCATGCTATGGCCCACACAGCCAGATGCACACATGCACACATTAATAAGAAATTTGTTTAATAAGAAAAATAGAAAATACTGGGAGTTGCATTGAGTAACTATGAATTTCACACTCCAAGAAAGCTTTTTTTCTTTTCAAATCTACAAACAATATACAGATTGTAAAAACATCCATGAGATTTACTACAGAGGATTAATGTTGCATACACTAGCTCACTATCAATCTTAAGTTGTGTGCACTTAATGTGTTTAATCTAGAATAAAGTAAACAGGATGTAAAGAAAGGAGTAAGTTCTATTTCTATCACTCTTAGAAGCTTTAAGATGCTTCAGAGGACACGGTGACACACTCCAAACCACTAAGGAGAAAAGTTGTTTTTATTTTCACTGTGAAAACTTCAAAAAGGCTGAATTGCAGAATAGCTTTTCTCTGGTTGCATCAATTAGATACGAGATGCATCTAAAGTTCAGAGGTCAGTGGTCCCAAAATTTGAAAAATATTCAGTCCGTAGAAGTTATTGTAAAGCATCAATTCTTTCCCCTGAGAAAAAAAATTGTCACATTATTTGAAGGCACTTTGTTCTGTTAGAAAAATCTGAAGCCATCATCAAAGCAAAGAAAGGAGATGGGATTATTTTTAAGTAATCTTTTTTTTTTTTTTTCTTGGATGGATTGGAGGACATTTTTCTTGCAGGTGGTAAAATTGTCACTGGCACCACCTGAACAAACTGTAATGCCCTGCACTGCTTGCTCTTTACAGAGTGCCCCTCACTTTTAAAGCCAGGAAAGAATTAAATATGCATTACAAATATTTGGGAGAAAGCCCAAAATACTTGTCTAGAGAATCACTATTGGCATAGATAAAGGAGTCTTGAAAAATGTATATAAAGGTAATAGGACAACAGCAAACGGGTGAAGTGAGCTTCAATATCAAATTAGAAACTGTCTCCACTAATAGCCAGCAGTGTAGCCTTGGGCAAATTACTTGATGTATCTGATCTTGATTTCTTTGATCCTCCAATTCTGCATCTACAAAAATAAATAATAAATGTCTTCTCCCGAAGGATAATCATGAGGATTAAATAAGAAAACAGGAGTAGAGCCTCTCCTTCAGTAGCTGCTCCTAATGGGTGCTTAGAACACCAAATAATCACATTCCAAAGGCAAGCAGAACTTATATTAATGCAAATAAGAATTTGGGTGTTTGTTGACTTCCATTAGCTCTCCCTCTAAAGTCACAGGAGGCTCTCACTCTGGCCACTTAACCTGCCAAATTGCAAGGGTGGGTATTGTGTCTCATGTCTCGACAGGATACAGTGAAAGCCAGCATATCCAACCCTAACACGGTGCACTCTATTTGTTTAATAAATGAAATGGTTAGATATTACAAAAGCAATTTTAAAATTCTTTTATTCTCTGCATGGAACTTCCCTGCCCTTCTCAAAGACAGGACAACCACTGCTTATCTGATAGGAATATCAAAAGGCAGCCATAGAGTACTGTTAAGCAGAGGGTCTTTTTGGAACTTCTCACCCATATAACAGACATACAAACACACACATGAAATTAGCATGGCCTTAAGACATGGTAGAAATACTTCCAAAGTTCTCAGGTATGGGTTCACAAAGTAAGAATGCCAGCCTAAAACACTGTCACTACCTTTGAAATTATATGATCAGATGTTTACAGTGTCTTATCCCAATCAACTAATGTTTGATTTGGTTTTTTGAAACTTGTAGCTCAGTATGATCTTGAACTCACATTATAGCATAGGATGTCCTTGAACTTCTGATCCTCCAGACTGTACCTCTGTGAGGGGTGAGATTACAGTTGTGTCACTACATGTGGTTTATTTGGAGTTGGGGTTTGAACCTGGAGCTTCCTACATGTACTTTACCACCAGCCCTAACTAATTCTTTATCTGGTTGAAACTACTCCTTTAAAGCTTCAAAATCTTTTAACCTCTTACTTAGAATTATCAAATATTTGAAGAGTCCGTAATAGGAAACCTGGCTCATACTAGTTTAAATAATGCAGATAATTTCTGGTCATAATATTTGAAGTAAAGTGAGCTTTGGAAAATTTTGATCTGGATCCAGGTTTCTTAGTGGTTTTTGTCCTATTCAGCTTTGTCCCCAGGCTGGCATATCTAATATCACAACAATTCTACAATTGTAGCTTCATGTGGCACATTGTTGTCCAAGAGAAAGGGCATCTAGGACACAGAATTTCAGCCAAATTACAAGAAGCAGTCATCCACTAAACAACACCTAATAGAATTCCTGTGGACAAAGTAATTCAAGAGGCTGATTGTCTCTAGGTACCTGCCTTAGTCCTAAGTAACTTGAAAGAACTCTTGAAGCAAGAGTCCAGTCACATCCCATCACAGGAGTTGGGTAGGACTCACCTCTAACCAAGGCTGCCCTTCTCTTTAACCTACTCCATAGTCCATTCATTGATGTGAATCTGATCCCTTTCAAGTAAAGGATCAATGGCTTCCTAACAACATATATTGTACTGTGATTCTCCATTCCTTTGTCATGGAAGCTAGTATTCTAGTTGACTTTATATTTCTGTGATAAAAGACTGTGACCTTCAGGTTACAGTCTATCATCAAAGGAAATCAAGGTGGGAACCTGGAGGCAGGAACTGAAGCAGAGACCATGGAAGAGTGATGCTCAATAGCTTGTCTTGGGTGGCCTGCTCATCTTGTTTTCTCATACAAACTCAGAACCTCTTGCTCAGGGGTAGCACAGCCCACAGTGGGCTATGTCCTTCCATATCAACTATCAGCCAAGAATATGCCCCAGATACATGCCTACATGCCAATCCGATTGAGGCAATTAAATTGGGGTTCCAGCTTCTGGGGAATTCTAGTTTGTGTCAAGTTGACAAAACACTAGCCAGCATAACAAGATGGGTCAGTGCAAAGATATTTGCTTCCAAGACCTAAATTTGATCTTCAGGATTCACACAATGGAAAGGAAGAAATGATTTCTATAAGTTGTCCTCTGACTTCCATTCATGCACAATGGCATGTGTGAGCCATCACATGCATACAAATATATACATACACTAAAATGTAATTTAATTTTTAAACTAATTAAGATCATGTTTTCTTCATATGCACATGAGCCAAGTAACATAATAAACCCTTCTTTGTTTTCAGTTATATTTCTGTCTTTGCAGGCACGTTTGTAGTACAAGTCACTGCAACTGATGCTGATGACCCAACATATGGAAACAGTGCTAAAGTTGTCTACAGCATCCTACAGGGACAACCCTACTTTTCAGTGGAGTCTGAAACAGGTTAGAATGCTTTCCACATCTCCTAGTCTACAGTCTGTAATTTTAACTGACATGTTCAGCTGACTTAGCCTGTTGTTTAATACAAACAATTAACATGATTGGATTTTGCTTGTGTTCCTCTGTGAAACTTTAATGATGTATTTGTAAGCTTGACATCCAGATAATTTTAATAAAGAAATAGACAATGAGTCTTTTGCACCACACATATAGGATAGAGTCATTCCTTTCTTTTTCCATCCAGTTCGGCAAGAAGCTAAAGGACTGACCCTTTCTGAGAGTGGCTAACCCTATTCACATAAATCCTGAGTCCTCTTTTGTCTTTTCTAGTTACTTGATGGTGCCACATCTTTCTGTTCTGCTCCATATTTGCACAAATAAAAAGTGTCAGCCAGATAAGTCACTTCCAAGCAGAGTTGCTACACTCTGTCACATTCCCTTCCCCTGGTCATGGTGATCATGGAAACCCTTGTTGAGACAGGGCCTCAGCCAGGATGCCAGATTGTTACCAGGAGCAGAGATCCCTGCCTGCCTGTTCAGAGCATACGTCAGAATTGAACCATAGCTCTGTCACACCACTGAGATTTTTGTCTCATTCTAATGTCATGGTCTAGCCCATCCTGTCCAACACATTCCTGGCCCAACAAATTAGCTTCCTTATGGAATCTTTTTTTTATGGCATCTTATTTCTGAGTCTGCCCTGCAAAGTCTAAGTGGAATGCTGGACTCACTGCTGTCTGTCACAGATGCCAATGAGAAGAGACAGGAACTGAATCTTTAAAACCTCTTTTTTTCTGAGAGCTGGCAATCTGAGAAGACAGTAGATTAACATCCTAAAAAAAAAAAAAAGCTGTCTTCCATCTCATCTCCCACAAGCATACATACAAGCAGATTACAGAATGGAGGATGGAGGGAGCATAACAAAGAAAGCCAGTCTTTCTGGTCAGATGGCCAGACATGAGCTGTGATACCCAGGTTTCATTATCATCTCTTGCAGCCTCCCCTCATTTTGTGGATGTTTGGGGCTCGGGCACTTCTTGAAATGCTTAGTCAAGTTGTTTGATATCAACCTTGTTCTCCAGGGGCATCTGGGCTTCCAGGGTGTTAACTCAGAACAAACCAAGCATTGACAGTGCATGCTTGCTAAGCTATAAATAGCACAGAGGTGCTGAGGCCTCTCCGCAATATGGAGCACAAGTGTGTCATATAATGCAGAACACAAAAGCACCTCTGTCCAAAGCGCCATGCCATCGGGTGTTTTATTTTTCAGTACAAAGCATTTGTATTATACAGTAGGCTCTATACATATTTTGAATCAAGTTCCTTTCATTTTTTTTTTCAAACACTCTTTATTTTAAGCCAGAGCTTTTCTGGGTTACTACATCCCAGCTAGAGATCTATGTGTTAAAAGGTGAATGAACCTGGAAAGAATCCCAAGGAGAGAGGACATGTTGAGTTGAAAAACAATGAGAATGAAGAATTAGAATTACCCTACTTAAAGGACAAAAGGCTAAGGTGATTTCCTGTGTTTAAATAGAGAAGAACCATTATTTGAAGAAGAGAAAGCCGCTGCTCCTTGACGCCAAGACTCGGGGAATAAATTGACCTGTTGTCTGAGGCATTCTTGTTAAAAAAGGAAGAAAAGATATTTTCGGCTTCATTAGTGGTTAAGCATGAGAATGTGAGACCGGAGAGGGTTACAAAACCTACTCCAGTGATTTTTTTTTTTTTTTAAGGAAAGTTAATTTAAGCATAAACACTCTACAGAGATTAGGCAAACTTTGAGAAATTCTTTCAAGTCATTATCTAACTGCCTAACAGTAGAGACAACTTTAACCTATCTATCTTTAAAATGTTGGTTGCTGTAGGGATTACTGGGATGGAGTTCTCATTCCCTGTAAGATATCCCAAATTCTCCAGGATCACACAAGATCATAACCGAGAGGAACCTCAGGCCATTTTCCTGAGCCCAGAGTTTTGTGGCTTAGAAAACCCACGAACATTCAATTAGCCAAGTTGATAATGTGAAACTCTGGTGTCAGCTCAGGCATATGGCTTTCTAAACTATCCTCTCAATGCTTTTTATCCAGCAGCAAGTGCAGTGTGTCCTCTCATGCCACACACCAGTTGTACTTTACAATGTCATCCTATGACATTTATATTGAACGACTCTCGGTCTCTTTTGCTCCAGCTTTCACTTGTACTTACTTGTTTTCATTCTCCTTGTATTACAGGCTTTTTAATGAGTATCTCTCCCCCTGTGTGATTGTAATTTCCTTCAGTAGAAAGGCTGCACATAATCATCTTTATATCACAGTGACATCTGCATAGTGTTTTGCATATTGTGGGTGACAGTCTACATTTGTTTGCATAAATAAATGATTCCATAAAATACTGTTAATGCTTCCCCTTCCATTCCTGAATTTCAATTTCACATCCATAGGTATCATCAAGACAGCGTTGCTCAACATGGATCGAGAAAACAGAGAACAGTACCAAGTGGTGATTCAAGCCAAGGACATGGGTGGCCAGATGGGAGGACTGTCGGGGACCACCACCGTGAACATCACGCTGACTGATGTCAATGACAACCCACCCCGTTTCCCCCAGAGTAGGGACATTTGATTGAACAGATTTCTCCAATATGCTTTTGTAAAATTTTGACTTTAAGAATATTTCCATTGCTGGCACTGCTGTCAAAATCACTGGACTTAGGAAGAATTGGCACTTTTATTAAAATTATTTAAATGAGTTGAAAACACCACTTATGCTCAGGAAGTGTGAATGCTTATGCTCTGCCATTGGTAATTAGCTGAGTGATTCCTGATAGGGCTGCTGTTGTAAAAGCAACATCATTGCTTTCTCTTCCCTTATTAAAATGACTACCATAAGCATAAATTTGCTTGAGCAAAGGATATGTATACAAGTATGCTGCTATTTGTTAGAGAGAAGTTGACTTTATGTTTTTATGAACTAAATCAGGCATGTAATCTCTGTTAAATGCTCACAAAGCTTTGCAAGGAAGGATTTATCATTTCCCTAGTTCTAAAAATACAGCTGGAGAAGTTGTTATATGTTTGATCCATTTGTAGTCATAGAGTTTTTTACAGTATGGTTAATTGAGATACTGAAATTCAACTCAGATATCGTTAACTGTCATTACCAAGTAGGAAGAAAAAACAAGACCCATGAATATTGCCTTTCTGTCAAGCATCGAAGCTAGACTTTCACATGCAGTCACCCAGGGGAAAATAGTTGTGGTTCAATCTTCCCTTCAAAAACAGATGTCTTTGTGACCATGCTCCCCCCAAAAATTTATCTGAATTGCTAAACAAAACAATGTAGCTGGATATGGTGACTCACTCACACATATCATCCTAGGACTTGAACAGTTATGGAGGCTTCCAGGCTATTGCTCCATAAAGAGCAATAGCAATAGCCCAGGAAGAGTCCTTTTTTGGTTTTGTTTTGTTGTTTTGTTTTGTTTTGTTTAAGCAGGTGACTAAAGAGGATGACTCAGCAATTGGTTTAGAGCACTCCATGCTCTTCCAGAGGATTCAGGTCCAGGTGAAGGCCTCACAATGGCCTCTATGTCCAGCCCCAAGAGATACAAATACCCTCTTCTGGCCTCTGGGACCACCTGCACACACATAGCAGACAGACACACAGACATACACGCATACAGAAAACTAAAAATAATAATAAAAAAACAAACCTTTTGAAAAGAAATAGAAGGAAGGAATGAGAGAAGCGAAGAGGGAGGAGGGAAGGAGGAAGGGCGAGGAAGGAAGAGAGGGGGTGGAAGAAAACCCACTTACTCTACTGTGGCATTTTTAAAGATAACCATATAATGCAGGCTTCCTTTAGAATGGAGATCCAAATGATCAGCAGAACACAGTTTCATCTTTTTATTCTCCAAGTATATAAACAGCTGGCTAGTTGCCAAAAACAAAACAGCTAATAATTTATAATATAGGGAGAAGGAAAGTGTTATGGGTCCTAAAATTTCTCCACAATGCCTAAAATGAAAATAGCATTCTCGACAGTGCTTTGCTCCCGGGAGGATAACTCAAGAGTGTCTGGCACTTGACCCTATGGGGATTTGTCACTTGCCCTGCTCTTTCCTTACATTGCCTGTTACCTGCCATCAGACCATGTGCCAAAGCAAGGGAAGAGAGAATGCAGAACAATCTAGAAAAAATACTTAGCATATTTAGTTATTTTACTAACCAGGAGCCCACTATTCAGGGAATTCGCATAATCGAAGGCCTATATTTCAATGGTGCCATAGTTCGGTGATTTTTGTTGTTGTTGTCTCAAAATCATGTATAAATAAATGGCAAATTATAAAAGATAAGAATAAATTTCAGAAGGCAGCTTATGATCACCATTTTGCCATCCATGCTAAGACAATTTTTGTTTCTACATACATACATACATACACACACACATACATACATGCATACATACAAACATACGTACACACATACACATAAACACACTCACATTCTACTCACATTCTAAGTTTATGCTGGACTACAAGATTGTCTGATCTAAGATGAAACTCACATGCTATCTTTCAAACTAATTTTACAATATGAAGATATTTAAACAAAGCACAATTTTAGATGAGAAGTAAAAATAAAAGAATGCTGACAGGTGTGGTGGTGCACATCTTTAATCAGGCAGAGGCAAGCATATTTCTATGAGATCAAGGCCGGCCTGGTCTACACAATGAGACTGTATCAAAAACAAAATTATGTATCTTTACATATTATTATATAAACAAACATATGTAATATGTTTATAAATATATATAAATTACATAAAGAAAATGCTGTAATGAAATTAAGAATGAAAGAATGAGTTAGTCAAAGGAAAAGAGTGGAGAACTCCACTGCCCAGTGTAATTCCCCATATCCCTAACTGCATTCAGATCCAGATCAGATTATTAGTCAAATCATGGCTACTTGAGAATGTTTTCCAAATTGCCATAATTTGCTTCCACCTTCAGCTAGTATGACCGAGGTCAGGAAGAAATCCTGTTAAGAACACATAGTAATTGGCTTCAAGCTAGTCCTGGTTAGGTTCTTTCTGCTCTAATACCTTCATTGGGCTTTTGAAACCCTCCTCTCCTTGTTAGTCTCGAAAAGACACCATGAACTTGAGAGCTTTGTTTACAGGACAAGAAAAAGGTACCCTACCTGCAAGGAGAGAGACCATGAAATAGGAGGAGGTGTGTGATTATCATGATAGTTAAGACATAAGGAGGATAGGACATCATTAAATATTTTGAAGAAAGCATAAGTCTGTCTCCACCCACAGTGAGGTCTTCAAGGCATCTCCCCTCAGCCATAATTGGGCTTTCTATGGCTGCACTTATTGCCAAGCACAGTTTCAAAATATTATTTAAAATAGCTTATTGTTATATATTATTATACATATTCTCTTTTCTTAACAAGAAATAAGCTATTGCAGATAGTCTATTATATTGTGCCCAGGTTATATGTTAAACTATCGAAGACATGTATATATTAAAAATAAACACAGGAAAAATAGAGTATTTAACTTGCACTAAACCCTTTCTTTAGGATTTAGTACTGGTTACAGTTAGTTAAAGCCACTGGGAATCTTTAATGCATCCCTAATGGATAAAAGTAGACTGCTTATTAGGGTAGAGTATCTCCTAGTCTCTGCCTTACTTGTTTGTTTGGTGATTATAATAGGTACATACCAGTTTAAGACCCCCGAGTCCTCTCCACCGGGTACACCAATCGGCAGGATCAAAGCCAGTGATGCTGACGTGGGAGAAAATGCAGAGATTGAGTACAGCATCATGGATGGTGAGGGGCAAGATATGTTTGACGTCATCACTGACCAGGAAACCCAGGAAGGAATTATAACTGTCAAAAAGGTAATGACATGGATATTTGTTACAATTCCCAGAACAGAGGAAAAGGCTCTTGAATAAAGTACTTGTACAAGTCCAGGCCCCCAAGTCTGTGCATGGTGGCACCTGGTGGCAACTCAGGAACTAGAGGAGTGGTGGAGAAAGGCAGATCCTGGAAGTTCCCTGGCCAGGCAGTCTGGCAGAAATAAGGTTCAAAGTAACAGAAGGCATGATGTTGACCTCTGACCTCTGGCCTCCACCCACAAATATGCAGAGTATAAATGCATACACACACACACACACACACACACACACACACACAAGCATGCACACATAGAAAAGGAGACATAAGGAGATGTAAACACAACTCCACATTAGATTTATTTAACTCCAAATACTATTGTTTAGCAGGGGGAAGAATAGGCTATTTATTGGTGCCTCTACAACTTACATAGCTATAGAACAAAATAAAACTCTTAACGTCTTATCAATAAGAGTGCTTCCCTCTGGCTCCCAAGAACAATGACAATTTCCTACAAACACTTCTTCAGATTCTTTTACTCACTCTTTAAAAACACCAATACTAACTGCACTGAGTTCTCTTGGGTTGACTTTTAGTAGTCAAAAGTAATTTTACATATTCATTACTTCTATTACTTTCAATAAATGTCTATTAAAAAATCCTTTAAGTAAGTAAGAGAAACTAGTAGAATATATAGAAATGATTAAATAAATGATATAAACAATAAAATAGACAATAGCACACATCATTGTGGATACTGATGTTGCCATTACAACAGAAGATCTCTGCAATCCTAGAGCCTACAGGCCAGGAGGGAATTGACAAGGAAGTTAAAAAACCACTAAATGAATGTGTATATGCAAACTGTGAAACGTGCATTGAAGGAAAGGCTTAGAGCAAGTAGGGGACAAGATGACCTGAATTAGAGAGCCAGCATATTCAGAGATCACACATTTATGCAAATGAAGAAGTGTCATGTGACCCCTTCCGTTACTTTCAGGAGCATGAGGGCATCAAATCTCCTCCTCACCAGCATGCTTTCCTGCTAGTTGACCTCTCAAAATTGGCAGGCACCACAGAGCACTAAACCAAAGTGTGGCCATGGTTAAAACCAACAAATCATGTGATATGGGGCTAAAAGAATTGATTTAGGTTAATTTTCATTGATTTCTCTTTTGTCATGTATAGTTCAATACCCTCTTTCTCCCTTAGCCCACTGTGGTTTGCTGCCGAACATAAGCATGGTGGATGTAAATAACAAGAAAAATTTCCCTCTTTAGAACATGTCTGAATATCTGGAAGCACAATAAAACATGCTTAAGCGACACTCAGACCAATGTCTTGGACCCTGATATGATTAGGAAGCCCATTACTGTGCATTAACCTTTTTTAATTTCCTCGGGGCCTTATCAGATTCAAACTGAAATTTTGCCTAGCCGACTAAATCACATTCGCCAACGTCTTGATTAATAGTGTTTCTAGCAAGCCTTGTCATGATATCATCTGAAACTACATGTCAGCAATATGCATTTGGGTTCACTACGTCTTCAAAGGCAAATTCTTTCCCTAAAGGTTTTTGACAACGGGGATCATTGCCTTCTTTGGCAAGTAATTAGCCCAGTGCCCTTGTGAGCATATTGAGGAAAGCTCTTATTAACTCCTGCAAAAACAACTTACTTAGTCTGAATGGGCAAGAGAGAGTCACAGTGCTAATCTGTGGGTCACAATTCTGGCTCCCCTCAGACTCTCCGGAAACTGTTTGAAAATACGGATAAGCATCGGCATGGAAGAAAGTTTGGCTTAGTAGAGAAGAGTGGGGCCCCAGGCAATGACAAGTTTTAAACACACAGCAGGTAGAGCCAAATGTGAGATACCCCTCTCCCCCTGGCAAAATGGTTGACTACATGCTGCCACTCTGCCCTTGGCAACCCCCTCTATTCAAACCCAAGCTATTTTAAAGGAGACGGAGTCTGAAACAGATTCCACTCCGGCGCCCAGTTCTCTTCCTGACCATAGGAATAGCACTAGCACCTGGGTACCCACTTTTCTGCAGCAGCAGACATCCGGGCTGTACTTCTGTCATGGCTGGTTCATGGTTCTTCACAGCCTATGTAATAGGTAATAGTTTCCCTACTAATGCTCTAGAGTACAGGAAAAATATTGATCTCAACTTACCTTTGCTGCCTCTGCCCAACATTGCAATAATGTGTGGTAACTTCCCAAAGCAGCTCGATTGCATTCACTTATCAGAGATTTTCACTAAAATGGTTTGTGCCTTGCCTCTCTGTGTTTCATCACTTTCTTCTGAAGCTCTTGGATTTTGAAAAGAAGAAAGTGTACACCCTCAAGGTGGAAGCCTCCAATCCCCATGTCGAGCCCCGATTTCTCTATCTGGGTCCCTTCAAAGACTCAGCCACGGTGAGAATCGTGATAGATGATGTGGATGAGCCTCCAGTCTTCAGCAAACTGGCCTACATCCTACAAATCCGAGAGGACGCGCAGATAAACACAACCATAGGCTCTGTCTCAGCTCAAGATCCTGATGCTGCCAGGAATCCTGTCAAGTAAGTGCACTTCAGGGACATCTCTTTTGTAAGTTAAGTTTTTTGTTTTTTGTTTTTGTTCAAACATTCACCTGCTCCTTAGAAAAAAGGAATCCCTTTTCCAATTAGACAGCTGTGTTTTCCTGAAAACCAGTTCCAAATAGCACCTTTAACTGTCCTTGCTCACTGCATAAATATTGTTTTAGCAACAGCACAAACCTCAAGTACACAAAAGTTAAAAGAAAAGAGGCATTAAGACAGATACAATGGGAGTTCGCTGTTTAAGTCAGGTGATAGAACCTGGTGCAGCTAATTGACCTGGGCTCTAAGTAAGGTTTAAGATGATTTACTGAAGAGTGGATCAGAGAAATAAAGCAGCCACTGAGCTTGACAGGCAGCACACTTTTCAGGTGCTGGAGGACCTAGAATGTAGCACTTAGAGGCAGCATTATGCTCCCTTTAGATGAGTAATTGATCCCTTGCATATGTAAATAAAAACAAGAACTGTTTCGTGATATGTCTGTGAAATGCTGGAGAAATTAACAGGATGGAATCCAAAGGAACGTTCGGTAAACGACCTCCATCTTTCCTGTGCTTTGCTGGCAAGGTGGCAAGAAAGTCTCGTTGCTCTTTGAGGCCACTGACAACTTGGAGATTCTAGACTCATATGCAAATCCCAGAATCAACCAGCTCCCAACCATCAGCCAGTGGCTCAGTAGAATAAATGAAAAAGGTACTAAATCATAGGGCTGTTGTGTAAATCATTCTCCATAGATAAAGCAGGCAGCAAAGATAAAATCTGGAGAATTTCTTGCCAGTGAACCCACAGACATATTCTGGTCAGGTTACCTGCCACACACACCATGCACATTGTATTCACAAGGGGAATGCAACAGACAACTATATGAAGTCCTCCATGTAGAGAGCTTACAGAGAAAAATAAACAATGGATAAATATGCAGCAGGTCAGGTGAAGAAATTCTAATAATCAAATTAATTGTGAGACCACTTAAGATGGTGTGACCAGACTTAGCCTTCTTAGTAGGAAATTTATGCAGTAAAGATATGAAAATTAAAAAAGGAAAAATGTAGTGATGACCATGTAGAATCCTGGGCAAAGATCTGCAAAAGGGGAAGAAAAGGTCTAATGCTAGAGATGACTTAATCTGTTGCAAGAGTGGCTAAGAGGGCTGCATGACTAGGAGAAAGCAAAGAGGAAATATGAAGGGGGAGAAGAAAAAAAAGGAGGGAGAGGAAGAGAGAGTAGAAGGAAAGAAGAGGGAGAGAGGAAGGAAGGAGATTAGAGAAAGAGGAGGAGGAGGTAGAGGGGGTCAATTAGGAGGCAGTTTGCCACTGTGGAGTTGTGGGTAAAGCCTGAATTTTATCTAATTGAGGTGAGAAGCCATCTGGAAGCTTTGAATAGAAGAGCTACCTAATCCCAACCTACACTTTTGAAGGGTCATTCTGCCTGTTACATGGAGAACGTTATTGCAGATAAAAGAATATACAGCTCTAAGTAAATGTTTTCTAGCATTCGGTCCCCTTCGTTCTAGTCAAATCTCATGACACCTTCATATCTAAAACACACAGATGTCTGCTCCATTCTCAGGGCACACAGAGCCAGGCTTTATCTATCTGCTGGAGGATCTATGACATGCTAAAGAGGGCTTGGTCCATCAATGTGGTCCCAGGTGAGCTCCACAGGCCCAGTGTTTTCCCCTGTAAATGTAAGATGCTTGATCAGGGAAATGAGTGATGGCTTTCACTTCCACAGCACACACACTTTATGTATTTTCACAACTGTTCTGTCACTTGGAGCTCATTCTAATGGGGGGAGGCTACTTAGAAAGTCAGTGTGAAGTCCAATTTAAAAGTGCTAATGCTAGAAGTTAACAAATACGAGCTTAGGTTCCTCTCTGATATATCAACATGCTCTCCATTTGAAGAGAAATGTCTTCTGGAAATTTAGGCTAAATTCTTTTATATTAGTTTTTTAAAGCAAATATCAGTCTTACCCATTGCATTATTCTCTGTGTTGTGAGTGGAGGTACTCACCAGGTGGGTTAGTGGTTGGTTCATACTAAGACTGTCGCTGCCAGCCTTCCCTTAGCACATATGGATTTGATATATAAATATAGATTTAAGTCTAGAAATGTACATAGATTACATTGCTGTATCGATGCATATTCCCAAGATTTTACTTATAGGACAAAATCATTCTTATACTAAGAAAATATGCCTATACATAGTCTAGACATAGATACTAAATAACTACATAATACTGTTAAGTGAACAAATAATGCCTGAAACATTGAGTTTTTATGCAGCCACCATCTTTAATTTTTCAATCACAAAACAATTTCCTACTATAACTTTATCACGATTTCTTTTGATACACACACACACACACACACACACACACACACACACACACACAATATACAGTGTCTATATGGGGGCTAGAGAGATGGCTCAGCACTTGCTGCTCTTACAGAGGACTCAAGTTTGGTTCCCAATACTCACATCAGATGGTTTATAACTGCCTATAACTCCAGTTCCTGGGGATCCAAATATCTCATTAGGTACCCAGACTCCTGTGCCCACACACAGACACATAGTCACACACACACACAGTCATACACATAAATGAAGTCATTTTTTTTTTTGGTATACATGCAAATACAACTTCTTCCCCATCAAATAAATCTCCCCCACTTGAGTACACATTACAAGACAAATCATTTAATCACAAAACACAGTGAAGTCCCAGGAGAGGAGGTCAAACAATCTGCTACAGCATGCAGAGGCTGACTGCCTTTCTTCCAATTGGCAATGATCACAGTTAATGTTTCTGGACAATAAATATCACTGATATAAACTGAAATTACCTTAGAGGACAGAAAATAACAACAACAAGAAAATGCAGCTTTGTCCATATCGTCTCTCCTAAACAATATAGGCATGTTAGGGTTTCCATCAATTTTAATCTCCCAATTAGGGAAGACAATATAAATTTTTGGTATTTCCTAAGTAGTTAATCTCCTCTCTTTAAAATTTAAAGCTGACTTGAACTAAGACTTCCTCACTGCTTCCCATTTATTTCAAGGCTTGATAGAAAAACATGATAATGTGTAATACTTAAAACTCTACCGGGAAGCTGAGACAAAGTAAAGATGGTCATGTGTAACTGCAATAGATTACAAAGGCACAAAGTACAACACCCTAAGCTTGGAGTTTTTCATGAGGGAAAAACATGCTCATAGATAGCTATTAAGTTTCTCACGGTCTATGAGTACAATGTCTTCCCTTTTGAGAAGTAGCAATGTGTTATAAATACTTATCATTCGTTTTCAAAAATGAAGAAAGGCAATAAAATAAGTTCAGTGTTCTTACCTAACAAGGAAGCCTGTGTGGGACTCACCTAGGCCTTCTGCTTAGATGTTATAGTAGTATAGCTTGGTCTTCTTGCGAGACTACTAATAGGGAGCAGGGACTGTTTCTGACTCTTTTACTGGCTTTTGGGACCCTATTCCTCAAACTGGGTCACCTTATCCAGCTTTACATAAGGTGAGGTGCTTAGTCGTACTATAACTTGATATGCCATGTTTTGTCGATATCCAAGGGAGGCCTGCCCTTGTCTGAATAGAAATGGAAAAGTAGTGGAGCAGAGGACACAAAGGGAAGGTAGGGGAAGGGAACAGGAAGAAGAGGAGGGAGGGGAAACTGTGTGGGATGCAAAACAAACAAGTAAATAAATCTTTAAGAAAATAGAACATGTGCTGGGGAAATGGTGCATGAGAAGATCCATGACTGGAGTGGCCCCCAGAGCCTACAAGGACAGGTGGACCCGGCAGCCTGCCTAGAATTCCAGTACTCTGAAGGCAAGTCCTGGGAATCCCTGCAGCTAGCCAGAACAGCCATATCGGCAGTCTCTGGGTTCAAGTGAGAGGCCCTGCCTTGATGAATGAGGAGGAGAACAAGTGAGAAAGACTCCCAACGTCAGCCTCTGACATCTATGTGCACACACATGCACACACACACACACACACACACATACACACACACACACGTGTGAGCACATATACACCTATCTACAAATCACACATACACACAGTCATAGAAATAGTTACCAAATAAATTCGCCCTAAATTACATATTAAAATAATTGACTAATTGCATATAAAAAAGAAATTAGTAATGGTCTCTAAAATCATACAACTTGCCTAGCGAGTCAACCTGATTGTAAAGATAGAATTGATCCAAATATTTTCCTTAATGTTACAGTTACAGATAGTGCTTAAAAACACTACAAGTAGAAAGAATTAACAAATGAGCTATTCTTGCAGCGGTTTTATGATGTGAAAGGGGAAAATCTAATTCTAAATTCTACTCTGCATTTTCAGGTATTCTGTGGACAGACATACAGATATGGACAGGATATTCAACATTGATTCTGGAAATGGTTCAATTTTTACATCAAAACTTCTTGACCGGGAAACACTGCTATGGCACAACATCACAGTGATAGCAACAGAGATTAGTAAGTCCAATCTAACCAATGCTGTCCCCAGTGATGGAATGAGGTCCTGGCGAGGGCGTGTGCAAGCATGGCCAAAGCTTTTCAGCTCATATTGACAACCCTGCTTTATACAAGTTGAGGGAAGGAACACTGGGGAAAGACCGTCAACGATGCATCTTCTAAATGTGTGTTGTTTCATCTTAACTGGAGGGAAAAAACTGTGGAAGTTCTGCAATTTGAAGACAATAAAACAATAACACATCTCTCTGGGCTGGGGAGATGGCCCAGCAGGAAAAGAGTTTGCTAGGCAAGTGTTGAGGACTAGATTTTGGATTCCCAAGGTCCACATAAAAGCTGGGTGGATTCAGCAACTGCCTGTAATCCCAGCATTCAGGAAGCAGAGACATGAGATCTCCAGGGCAAGTTGGCTGTCTAGACTAGGAAAGCACTCATCAAGAAAACCTGCCTCAACTGGTAAGGTGGTTATGATGGAGGAAGGCACCCAACATAAACCAGTGCCTAAACACACACACACAAACACACAAACACACATATACATACACATACAGACTCACACACTACACATACATATGCACATACACACAGACACACACACTACACACACACTCATGCACACACACACACACAGACACACATACCACACACACATATATACACACAGGGACACACACCATACACACACTACAAATATAGACACACACACACACACACATAAACACACAGAGACACACATAACATATACATACAGACACATACACACACTACACACACACATACACACAGACACACACACAGACACACACAGACACACACCACAGACATACACACACATACATACACAGACACACAATACAGACACACAGATACATAAATACACCACACACAAACACTACACTCACATACACACATACAAACACACAGACACACACACACATACACACACACAGACACACAGATTCACAAATATTACACACACAGACACACACCACACACACCACACACACACTTTTCAAAAAAAATTGAATATATCTTTCAAGTGAAATAGAATAGGCACAAAGTAGATATGACTTCCATAGGTTATAAATTTTAAAAATCACAAAAACAGCTGAAAACAATGGACTCTCGAACAGGAATCTAGGGTCATATATCTTCAACATGTAGTCATTGGCCAACACATCTTAGATATTCATCCTTACCTTCTATAGAATTTCTATTTCAAAGTCAAATTCAGAGCTACAAAATATCACTTTCCTATAGTCTATCAAATTGAGCAGCATAAAGAACCAAGTAATCAATAAAATATTTAGAATGGATTCTATGTCATGTCCCATAAAGTACAAAGAAAAATAGTGCCAAAAAAAATTTCAAATGGAATTGTTTTACTCAATGGGAATTAATGTGAACTCTGAAAAGTCTCAGACAGGAGCAAATCAAAAAAGGACAATCTTTAAAATAATATTTTAGTGTTTAAAATAGGCTTCTGAAGTATAGTTCTTTTCATTTTGTTTTTAATTTCTGAAGTTCTAAACACTTTTATCTCTGGTGGATATCTGCTGCGAAATATCCCATCCCAAATGGTTTGTTACAGTCCTGTTTTGTCAACATAACTATTGAGGTGTGACAACGCTGTAGGAGAGTGGATGGGATCACTATCAGCCTGCATGGGCAAAAGGAAGCATGGCATTGTCAGTAATCGGAACACTTAATTTGACATTCCTTAAATAGGAATTTGGCGTCCAGAATTTGTGCCAAGGGACTGGCATGGATACTAACAACAGTAAACTGGAAGCGTTAAAATTACAAAATGATTTTCCACTGAAAAGGACCATTTTTCAAAAGTTCATGAAACTTAGTTTTTCACTTTATGCATTGTTTTAGATGTATGCCTAAAGTTTTAGGATTTAATGTTTAGTTAACATGTTTTAAAATTTGGGTCATTGAGATATATCACAATTTATGTGCAGCCGCCTTCACTTTGGAGGATAGTATGAGGAAAAAGAGATGCTAGAGATGGTAAGGATACTATTGTCAGAACTTGCTAACCACCTTCAACAGCTCAAAATATGAGAGCTTACATAAAGTTGTCTCTCTCTCTTACCCCAAAGCCTCCCTGCTTGCTCATTCATTTCCCCAGGAATCCAGAAATATTCACATGACTTACTCCTTCTTTTCAATCTCACCTGAGCAAATGGCGCCCCTGGGAAGGCACACCTGCTTGTCCCGCTCAACACAACAGCTCTCCCTCTATCCCTTTTCTCAGCTTAATTTTGCCATCTGGTGCATTGTATGTTCATATGTTTCATGGGCTTATCCCCACATTAGAATAAATACCTAAAACTCACTACTTTTATTAAGCTCCTTATCTGTCCCAGACAATATCAGGTGTCATGTCCAGTAAGGTTTTATCAAATGAACATTCAAATAGACATATGGGTTAAGTGGATGAGAGAAAGAAAACATGAGCTATTAACTCCTGACCCTGGCACCAGAAGTCTCTCCTCATCTACCCAGGGGATTAGCGTGGACAAATGAGAATGAAAGAGTGGGTGGCTCTTGTCTAAAGGGAAGTGGTGATCAACGTGTAATGCTTCTTTCTTTCTTTTTGATATGTGTCAGATAATCCAAAGCAAAGCAGCCGAGTGCCTCTCTATATTAAAGTTCTTGACGTCAATGACAATGCCCCAGAATTCGCCGAGTTCTATGAAACCTTTGTCTGTGAAAAAGCAAAGGCAGACCAGGTGAGTTGTATGCTAAAAGGCACCTTCAGATCAGAAGTCAGATTAATTTAGATCTAATAATTGAGGTGATACACGCGGCGGAGGGCTTGTCTTGAATTATCTATGAAGTGGGCGCCAAGGAGATTAATGCCATAAATAATAACCAAGACGAATGTTTAACTTACATAAGAGAACAAATAGTTTTTAAGAACTGGAAGTTCATCAGTCTCCAAGACTGATGTGGATTCCAAATCAGTTTCAAGTTTTCGTTAAAATAGATTAGTCACAGCGTTGCTGAAATAAAATCTCTATTGGTGAACAGATAGCTTAATTTGCATATGTACTTGAAAATAATAACTAGAACATATTATCCAATTGCCTATAACTCACAGTTTTACTTATTTACATTGCCCATCTGTAAAGTAATACAAATTCATAAGTTTACCCATTCACTGTTTTACCCATTTGTCACCTACCTGAAATAGGTCTTAGCAGCCTGTGACAGAGAAATTATGCTACACTTTGTCAAAAGAGAAGTGCACTGTGAAAGTACAGGGAAAGGGGGGCTGATGTCACTGCCTTTTTTACATTAATTTTCTTTTTTAGTTTTTTTTCCCCCAAGTTACTAACCTATGAGCAGAAGAAGACAGTGTATTTACACAGGCTGCCCAGAGTACTTCCGTTCTATTAAGTGGCAATGCTGTCAATGATCATTGTTACAGGCAGTTTTTCCCAGCTTGGTTCCACAGCCACCTTGCCCCAAATGGACACACAACACTTATAAGAATTATAAAACTGTTGGCCATTATTAATTATTAATTATTAATTATCAGCTAGCTCTATCTTAATTATTAACCAATAACTATTAATCTATGTATTTCTACATGGTCTTATCTTACTGGAGAAAGCCTGATGCACCTCCTCTCTTCCTGGGCTCACATGGTGACTTCTCTCTGCCTACACTTTCCAGAATTTTCCTCCTCTGGTAGCCCCACCTACCCTTCCTGCCTAGCTAGTAGCCACACAGTGTTTTATTCATCAACCAAAAAAAAAAAAAAAAAAAAAAAAAAAAAACATATACACAGAAGGCCAATCTCATCAGATCATTGAGACATTTGTAATTTTGTATTACTCTTCAGCAGTGCTTCTCAACCAGGATGACTTTGCTCCCTAGGAATATCTGGCAACATCTGGAGACCATTCAGGTTGTCACAACTTAGGAGAAGGCTTCTGGTATATAGTGGAGTGAGATCAGGGTGAAGACCACATAGTTTTCAGAGTAGACCCCACAGTAAAGAAGTAGCCCTAGCTCCATGGGTCTCTCACACATCAATTCTTTGAATAGAATGCACTAGTTGCTTTTTAAGAGCTATCATTTTAATTATGTTAATAAAATTAAGCAATTTCTTGAAAAACTGTAAGAAAATACTTTTGGGTTGTGAAACCTTTGTGACAACTTTATGGTTTCTATTCCAGCTGATTCAGACCCTACATGCTGTTGACAAGGATGACCCTTACAGTGGACACCAATTCTCCTTCTCTTTGGCCCCTGAAGCAGCCAGTGGCTCAAACTTTACTGTACAAGACAACAAAGGTAAGTGAGCTTCTTGCCTTTCCTCTCTCCGCACCCTTATGGGACTGGATCTCAGTCTCCATCCATATTCATTGACTTCCATCACAACCTATTCAACACATGATGTAGTATCCACACACATTCATCATTTTGCTTTCTGCTTCCAGACAACACCGCAGGAATCCTAACTCGGAAAAATGGCTATAACAGACACGAGATGAGCACCTATCTCCTGCCTGTGGTCATTTCGGACAACGACTACCCAGTCCAAAGCAGCACTGGGACAGTGACTGTCCGGGTCTGTGCATGTGACCACCATGGCAACATGCAGTCCTGCCACGCCGAGGCCCTCATCCACCCCACAGGGCTGAGCACAGGGGCTCTGGTGGCCATCCTTCTGTGCGTCGTGATCCTACTAGGTAAACTGCTTCTCCCTGCATCCTATCTCCCCTTGGTGAGGGGCACACACTGTTACTGTGACACTCTAGATTTTTCCGCCTCCCCCATTAAGGCATACAGCCTGATCTAGGTGAGTAGAGTTATACGCTGAGAATCTGTGTTGTTCAAACATGAACTAGTTTTTGCTTTGGAGAATGAACAGATGTAATATATGCCCATATCTTTGCTTGCTCAGGGTACCATTTTACCATAAAAATATATTGTATACCATACTGAAAATGCATCTCAGGGGAGATTAGAAATGAAGATATATATGTCCCCTGTTTGTTCTGTGTGTTGTCTGATAATTAACTTGGCAAATATTGATAAATTTTCAAGAGTGCAAATCATGAGTGTCTGATGAAGACCCCTTTTACAAAGGTATCATTTGAGATCAACAGAAAACTAGAAAAGGATACTGGTGACTTTTTCTATATCACTCAATGGGAAAAATAAAAGTATGACAATCTCGTTGATGAAACAAACTTACTTTGAGTTACACAATGGAGTAACTACCTGCTTAGTGCTGTTTTCCAGTTACCACATATGCAATGTCTATAATTTTCAGACTGTTAATAAAATAACTCCTGACTTTAAGAAGTGAATTCTGGATCCCAAAGAAATGAATGTAATAAAAGTGAAACACAAGATCTGCAATGGCTTGGATGTGGCATCTTCTCCCCCACAGCTCATGTGTTGGAGGTGCTGTCCTCAGTTGGTGGCTCAGCTGAAAGGGAATTGGATCACCAAATCACCAAATGACCAAAGCACTGATGTGCTTACTTCACCAAATGACCAAAGCACAGAGGTGTTCATAGTTGAACGGGCTGCTAGGATCTGGCTCCCAGCAGAAGGAATTATGTCACCTGGCATAACTTTGAAGGATATACCTTGTCCCTGGACTCATCCTGTCTCTTGACCACCATGAGTTGAGCTGCCTCATTCCACTGCATGTTCCTGCCACCATGACACTTTGTCTCACCACAGTCCCCAAAGCAGTAGATTCAAGTGACCATGGACTGGACCCTCTGAATCCAGAAGCCAATATATATCTTGCCCCTGTTAAGTTGTTTCTACCAGGAATTTTCTCAAAGAAACAGAAATCAACACAAGGTCTAGAAATTATTCAATTTTTTTTCTTCCAACCAACTAATTAAGCCAAAAACCTGAGTTTGAAAGTCTTTAACTACTATGCAAATAAAAAAAATCACAGCTAATATAGCCCTTCCACAAATGAAAACAAGGGCTGGAGAGATGGCTGGTTGTATTCCCCAGTACTCACATGCCAGCTCTTACAACCATCTTTAACTCCAGTTCCAAGGAATCCAACACCCTCTTCTGGCTTCCAAAGGCACCAAGCATACATGTGGTACACAGGCATACATGGAGACGAAACACCCAAGGACATAAACACAATAAAGTTTTTAAAAATAAAAACAAGATTTGTATTTACAATCTTGCCTATACAATTAAAAAAGTTCAACATATGCCTGTAATCATAGAACTGGAAAAGTGGAAAGGTAAAGATCAGAAATTCAAGGTCATCTTTAACTACGTGCTAAGTTTGTGTCAGCCTGGAATACACAAGCCCCTTTCTAAAAAGCAAACAAGAAAGCCTGTACCTAGATTACACAGGAGGAAAACTTCTTCTAATAAAGAAGCCTGAGTAACAACAGAGAAGCATAGAAAAGGGCCTGTATTTCTACAAGAAAGACCTTTCTCATTGATGATCAATATTGCCAATAATCACCAGAAGACTGGAAACCAACTTCAGAACCCTAATCCTCTTCTCAAGCAAGAGTTGAACAAAGTATTTTGAGACTGGAAGGTATACAGCAATGACAGTGTACAAAGGCATATCAGCATCCCTAATGCTGTGCATCTGTAAAACCTGTAGGACTTGGTCATTGTTCTTGATTTAAAAAAAAAAAGGAGTGTCCAGATGCCTGGGGAGGGTGGGTAGTGGGGGAAGTTATACCTGTGGAAGGAGAAGCAGCTCTTGCCTGCTAGCCCTTCTCCTTCCTCTCTCTAGTCATTTGTCCTGCTTTTTTACATTTTTAATTTTTTTAGGGTAATCATGCAAAGCAATGTGTTTCATCATGATCTCCTCAAATATGTGTATGCTCATACTTGGTTCTGACTCTCTCCCTTCCCTAATACCATACCCTTTCCCCAGCTGATCCCCAACTGCTTTCTGCTTTCTTTCACATATTCAGCTACCTACTCCCTCCCCTCTTCAGACCCTTTCTACTTTTGTAACTCCTACATGTATATAAGCACACACACACACACACACACACACACTTATAATGTTAATCTAGATTTTTCATGTAGCAGAAAATATAGGATTCATTCTGAGTTTGACTTATTTCACATAATGATTTCCAGTTCCATCGATTTTCCCGCAAATGTCGTGATTTCATTTTTGTTTGTGGCTGCATAAAATCCCATTGTGTATATGTATCACGTTTTCTTTATTCATCTATTTAGACATCTAGGCTGCCTCCAATTCCTGGAAATTGTGTATAGAGCAGCAATAATCATGGCTATGCGAGAATCTCTGTGGCATGTTGACTTAGAGACCTTCAGGCATCAATTCGTTTTCTCTGTTTTCTTCCTTCTCACTAACTCATTTTATCTTCCCCTTTCATTTTTTCAGCAATAAATTCACTGTCTCTTCATTATTCTTAATTGGCTTCAGTGCCTCCCACACCTTGTCTAGTGTTTTGGGAATTCTGTACATAATTTTTTTTAAAGAAAAAAATGAGTTTTGTCTTAACTAGATTCACACCATAGACTAGATGCTGTGCAAGATGCCTCACACATGTTTTTCTTGCTGCTCAGAACTACCTGGGGTGTATCTATCTGCATCTTCAGTATGAAAGCTGATTCAGCAGGCTATGAAGTAAGTCCTACATGGCCAAGTCACACATAGAATAGGAGATAAAGCTCAGCTACATACAGGTCTTTTATTCCATAATATGGAGCTCCCAGCCCATTCCTAGTTTCTCTGTGAGATTCTGGGATGCAGTGTAATTTCCAGGCTAAAAGAGACACCGAACTGAAACTGGGACCACTGGAAAAATTAGAGACAAACCTGAGAGGTTGCCAGAGAAAGGAAGCCACACTGATACATGAGGAAATCTGGTACAAAAGTAGGCCTGGACTAGGGGTGTAGTTGGGGATAGGGCACTTGTCTACCATACAAAAGTCCCTGGGTGATTCCCAAGGCATCTAGTATTTTACTAAAAGAAAACAGTAAAAAAAAAAAAAATCAAAGTAAAATTTGGGGGTGTGTAGGGTAGGAACTGGAAGGGAGGGAATTAGGGTAGAGTTGATTTAACACATTAGATCCATGTATGAATATTAAATGAAATTGTTTAAACATTCCAACAGCATCTACATCTAATCTGTACAGCAATTTGGAGTTTTGCAAAATTTTCTCGTTTAACTCATTTTTCATGACAGCACTTGGCATTGTATTAGTGCTTCCCTTTTACAGGGGTCAAATTATTAGTCTTCTAGTTCTATAATGGGTTTGGAACATGAATTTGACCATGCCCCCCCCCCTTCTCCCAGCCCTAAAATCTTGCTGATGTCCTCTGGCCCCAGGAGGATGGGAGAAGAGGAGACTAATCTCCATGAAGGGACTTACAGATAAGTTGAACTGTTCCAAATGCTTCTTTCCCAGCCCATTTCACACTTATAAAAGTTGGTTTTCATCAAGATCTCCCATCAAGACATCAGATGTACATTGGGCTGATAAAACACATAGATAGTCTTCACTGTAGAATTAAACCATGAATACTGAGTACTGTTGACTTTTGGTTATGCCCTCTCAATTCTTCTCATTTGTAAAGTCTATGTTTCAGGTAAATGTTGGACTGAAATTTAGATGTCTCAGTACTTGAATCTGGAGAATTAGAGAGTAATAAATGCTTACTGTCTCACCTTTAGTGACTGAAAGAATGCATGTACATTAGAGTTAGATTCTTTAAGGGCAGAGGGACTGGGGTCTATCCTCTAATCCCTAATGTTGACTTTACTTACATCACTGTTTTGCAAATCCATGCCATTCACACTGGAAAACAGCATAAAAGAAGATTAGCCCTAATCCCTGAAGTTCTCCATCCTCAACCCCACCCACCAAGGTGAAGGGGAAATCTTCCCAAAGCCACTAAGATGCCTGGTGACATAGCTCTTCCCTACTCCTCTCCTCCATTCTACTGAGACTCTTGGCATCTTCCTCAAATACTACAGGCTCAGACCTCCCTGAGAACTTTCCTATAGCTGTTTCCCCTTTGCCAGAGAGCACCTCGGATAGCTCCCTGAAATGATGCTGAATGCACAACCCAACAGAAAAACCTCCCCATCCTCCTTGGCCTCCTCTACTTTTTCTTGTTTTGCACTGCACTTAACATCCTCTAATAATTTCCTGACTTGTTATATATGTTGTTTATTTTCTGTCTCCATCCCACAGTCCCCACACATCTGCCCATGCTCTGAGGCAGGGCTTTTGATGCACATGTTATACTGGTAGTGCCTAGAACTGTACCTGGTACAAAGCAGACACCACATAACTATTTGTTGAAAGAATGAATGGATACCATGGGTGAATGAGACAATGGAGGCATCGGGACACTCTCTGACCAAGAACAGAGAGTGTGGACAGTTACACAGCCACATACTTGAGAATGGCAAAATTTTATTTCGTTAGGAAAGAGTCATCCCAATGTGCTTCCAGCATGGCAGGTAAGAGCGCAACCTTTATAGTCTGGTGGACCTGGATTTGAATGCTTGCTGCATGTGACATCTCTAGGCTTCAAGTTCTTCTTTGATAAACTGGGGTTTTCAGTACGGTTCCTACTTCATAGGACTATTATGATGATTAAGTGGGATAGAGTATGAAATGTACTTAGAACAGCAAATGGTATGTAGAATTCTCTCTCAAGGAAGCCAAGTATTAATACTATTAACGTCTGAAAGAATAACATATAGATCCATGAGCATGCAAATCTATGCATTAGGAGAAAGATGCACTTGCCTCCTCAATCTTATTGCAAGATTTCAATTTTCATGGCTTACAAAAACTGGACCATGTAATAGGCGAAGTGGTAGAGATACTGCCAGAACTTCCTGTAATAAATATCATTGAACAAATGTGAGCTGGTAATATGTTGTCTGCTGGATGGCCATTTCCTCTGTAAGTCATTGCTATGTTTTTACTTTGCACACATAGGTCCATTTGTAGGTAGATGTGTCTCTCTCCAGGCAGTCAGCTTTGTTCTACCAACCAGCTGTGAAGAAAGATCAGAAGCAATTTAAACACACTTCTTGCTTTGCCTCTAATTTGAGCTAGAAGAAAAACAATAATATATCTGTAAAACGGGCATTCTGGCCAACAAACTTGTGGGACATAGATCTTTGAAAGTGAAATCTCATGTATGTTTATTTAATTCAAACACAAATCATATGGAAAATGTATTACTATCTGCCCTATATAATTGGTTGAGCTTGGGGCCCAAAGTAGCTTTTGGAATCTGGGTCTCTCGGGGTTTTTATCTGTACTAATATTTCTTTGTATGTGGGAAGGTATGCAAACGTTCACATCTCTGCTTGGGATTTTAAACTAATTTTATACTTTCCTTGGGTGGGGGAAGAGGAAGGCATAGCGCAATAGTTATTTTAAATGTGGAGTTATGCAAAGCCTTCAACACTTCCCAGAGGTGCCAGCCTTTTCTTTATAACCAGTTTTGGAGCATTTTAGGTGCTTGGCATAATTTGCACTTTTATTGCAGTACTTTCTCTGCTGCTCAAAAACATTTATTATTATTATTATTATTATTATTATTATTATTATTATTATTACTACTACTACTACTACTACTACTACTACTACTTTTCCTACCTTGAAAGTAGCTTGCATTTTTGGGGGTTGGGGGGAAAGATGACATTTTATCATCTGGCTAAAGTATAGCCTTTCTTTAAAATACTCCATTCTGGGGTCTTTGTCTGATGATGGATAGAGACAAATGCATCCTTAAGGCTGAAAAATGTTGCGCCTGCATTTTCAAGTAAGTTTTAAAGCTGCTGGTTGGAGCAGTGTTTTTTCCCCATGTTAATTGGATAGCAAATTAACTTCCCTTCCCTTCTGTTTTGCTCTCTGCTTGTAGTGACAGTGGTGCTGTTTGCAGCTCTGAGGCGGCAACGAAAGAAAGAGCCTTTGATCATTTCTAAAGAGGACATCAGAGATAACATTGTCAGTTACAACGATGAAGGTGGCGGAGAGGAGGACACCCAGGCCTTTGATATCGGAACCCTGAGGAACCCCGAAGCCATGGAGGACAGCAAATCTCGCAGGGACATTGTGCCTGAAGCTCTTTTTCTACCGCGTCGGACTCCAACAGCTCGCGACAACACCGATGTCAGAGATTTCATTAACCAAAGGTTAAAGGAAAATGACACAGACCCCACAGCCCCACCCTACGACTCCTTGGCCACCTATGCCTATGAAGGCACCGGCTCGGTGGCCGACTCGCTGAGCTCACTGGAGTCAGTGACCACAGATGGGGACCAAGATTATGACTATTTGAGTGACTGGGGCCCTCGGTTCAAAAAGCTAGCAGATATGTACGGAGGGATGGACAGTGACAAAGACTGCTAATCTGTTGCCTTTTCATTTTCCAATTATGACACTGGAATATATGAAGTGGCTATTTCTTTCTATTTATCCACTATTCCTTGAAGGGTTCTCTGTTGTACCCGTCCCAAAAGTCAATGACTGCAGTCCATGCGGATCCAATGTTAGACTTTTTTCTAGTACACTTTTATGAACTTCTAAGAGGCAAATTTTAATTTTTTAGTTCATGCAGTTAACCAAGTTAGTCCAGTAGGCATGCGGGGTAGGAGAACAGGGAACAGAGTTTTCCTTTTCTTCTCTTAGGGCAGGTTGGCCACACACTCCTTACTGATGGCCTGAACACTACTTTCGTTTATGGCCTCAGGTCAGCTAACTGCTCCAACTGTACATTTCACATGCTAATGGGAGAAGGGATCATACTCTAATTAATGATAAAATAGAGTTTTAGTATAAAAAAATAAAAAAGGGGGGAACAATTGGGAAAATGTTCTTGGTCTATCAGCTTTCAAGGAGATAATTAGCTGCAGAAGGGTTTGTAAGGGTGTGTGTGTGTCAAAGAACTTAAAGTAGCATCTAGGGCATCCTGTCTGTGCTGCAAGAGGTGTTTCTGGCACCAACAACTACTCATAGCATCAAATCTTTCCACGTCGTAAGACGATGTAGAAGCAAATGATATGGTGACATCCAAAGACAGTGACCAAATGCAAGGCTTTGTTCCTTGACACTCATGACCATTGCATGTGAGAAAGAAACATCACACCAAATGAGGGGAACAAGAAAAATAGCTTAAAAAATGTTAACAAAGGTTATTTAACAAATTTCAAAGTTTTGTGCCACCAACTGTATCACAGATCCCTTAATTCTTTCAACTATCAGTAATCTAATGAGAAATAAGTCTAATCTTATAAAAGTTCTTGAGAGAATTTTCTGAGGCAAATGTTAACTTTTTGTCTGTAGTTGTCATCACTATTATCCTACTATACCTGAGAGTAGCAGTGTGAAGTACAATAATTCATATTCTTCAAATACTTCTTATATAATTAACTTGACTTAGTAAGGTTAGAGTAAATATCCTACCCAAGAGTTCAAGGGGAAGGTTGGACCCAGCCATTTGAACCTAATCCCTGCTCTCTGCCTTTGGAGACATCCATATACTTACACTGCAACAAGGGGAATGAATGAATGGCGCTGAGATGTTGGTGAAAACCTGCATCCCGTGTTTCTAAAATGCTCACAAAAGATCTTGGATTGCCTTCAGCCAAAAAAAGAAATAAGACTCTTGTTAAAATGGCAGTTGATTTCCAAAAGTAGTCTTATTTCCCCACTGTTTTTAAATTGACTCCTGTGGCAAAAGCTGCCATCTTTATCTTTGAACTGATGATGAAATAATGGTCTCAACTAAGACAGAAAAGTAATATAAAATCCATCCAATCTATTATTGCTCTAATTATGCAATTAGGCTCTCTTACAGTTATTATCCAGGGGACCCAACTGAACCAAGCTAATCCTTCTGGCAGGTTCAAATCATTTATTTCATATGGACGTTCTAATGACTCTCATCATTAGGATCTCACATTGTGCAGTCATCAGAAATTTCCAAAGTACTGTAATGATAACATTCTCATTTGAAAACTTTTTTTAAAGGCTCTGTATATACATATATAATATATACTTAAGAATGTGCTGACTTCTCTTATTAGTCATAGGGATTTATTTTCAGTTACTGTTAATTTTATAGAGATAATATTAGCATCATTTCCATTTAAGGGTAATGTTTGATCAACACATTTTCTATTTAGAAACACACTGTTGTTTAGTTGACTTTTAAACAGTTTTTACCCAGGAAGTAAAGGTGGTACCTGTTAAAACAAGAGATATGTGGAATTTGGATTATGGTTTTAAAAAAAATACAACATTGCCCTTTGCATTTCCTGAATGGTTTCCTGTTTGTGATGAGATGCCCTGAAGAGTATGCTTGGGCTATTTCTAGATTTTAGGGTTTTATTTTTCTAATTCTTCATATGAACACTGATACACACACACACACACACACACACACACACACACACACACACACACACGCACGCACGCACGCACGCACGCATGCACCACACGAGGAATGCAAACAAATGCTACAAGATGACTTCACTGAAATGGGTCAGTATGTATTATATTCACAGGTAAGTACTGAAAACAGATAGCCAAGCAAAATTAATAAAAGCTACTAGATATAGCATGAGAACAGCACCTTTCACAGTTTATTGTAAAATTAGAGTACTCTATCTTGTGTCTTACATCATGTGACAAACTGAACCAAGAAACACAGTTCTTAAAAAGAAAGGTATCATCAAAAGGTGCTCTTTTGAGCTTGTAGTGTGAAGTTTGGCGTTAAATTTCTAAGAGTTGACAACAGCAATTTCCAACATTTAGGGATAAAGTTGACCTCTCCCTTTTAGTGCAAGTATATACTGAAAGGAAGTTGTGCTATTTGAGATGTAATTTGCCAAAGCATTTTTATGCCAGCCTGAAAAATCACACATCATGCCAAAAATAGATGAATACAACTAAATATTGAAATAACTGTTTAATATCTTATCACAATGATTGTTGGTGAGGCAAATCTACAAGAAACTGGATTGTTTGAGCCCTGTAGCAGTCAACTTCAGACAAACACTTTCCCCTAAAAATCATCATGCAAAGAGTGAGAAGCCCTGTTCCATCTCTCCATGTAGTTTTTCTTCCCAGGAAAGTATCAGGTCAAGAGCATCCCCTTGGACAGATTTCTTTTGGTGACAAGTCCTAAGGCAACATGAAATTTTGGAGGGGGAAAGTAATTTCCAGCTCAGTTTTCATATTATTTGTGTCTTGGTCTTAGACACAGGCAATGAGGCTGGCAGGAGAGTGGGAGGGGTCCAACTTTAACATTTGCTTTGTTGAATATAAGCAGGTTGGTGGTATACAGGGTTGTTTCAAGAGCACTAATGCCTGTCTAACTTTTTCTTAACCTCTTTTCAACAGAAAATTTCCTCAAACCTCTTACCATGCTTCCTAGAATAAGCTGGGTTTTTAAAGACCACTAAGCCTTTGTGTGTGAGGTTAAAACTCCCCCACTTTATACCCACTTTCTTCAGGAAATCTGAAAATATTGGCCCTCAAATAAGCAACTAAATCAAATGAGAAAGAGGCGAGGTCAGCCTCCTAAGATTGTAAGAGAGAAAATCTGGGCACTGTAAATACAACTTCCCAAGTTTTACATTCTGGAGGTTCGGCTAGAGAAATGCTCTATTTTCAGATGGAACAAAGCTGGTGATTTCATTTTAATTCAGGATAAAAATATGTGGCTTAGTTCTCATTTCCACTTTGCAAAGTGTTATACAAGAAACTGACTCTGGGGCTTAAATGCATCCAAGTTTTGAGAAGTCAAAATAACTTCCTAATGTTTCCATTATGTAATCTGTGTACCGTGTGTTGCTGAACAATATTCTACATAGAATGCTTTATCCTGAAGCAGGTGTTTCCTGGAGGAGAATGATTTATAAAATACCAGTAGGCCTTTCTTAGATTCTGTAGACCTGCTCACATTAGAAACGTACAACTAAAAAGAAAGAGCAGAGTTGATTCCTGGGTGCATGCCAAATTTTTGAATGATTGTCTTTATCAATCATTGTCCTCAGTAATACTGCCACCAAATAAATAGGTTTGAAGCAGCATAATTACTTTGGAAGAACACACCAAGAATCCCTGCCATTTTGAAGGACATCCTCTATTTTTAAAAAAATCATTTTAGTGTGATTTTACATTTTCCTACTTTATCTAGATGAAATCATTTTTGAATTGTCATATTGTAGAACTGGACTCAATTTAGAGGCAGTTCACTCTATTTAAATTAACAATACAGCCAACCTTCTTTATCAGATAAGAGTAGAAAGATGAATAGTTGGTGTGTGAGTCTTCAGGAAGAAGGGCTGCATCCTTAGCTCTGACAAGCACGTTTCTTTTCCAGAGAATGGATTACACGGTGGTCTCATCAGAGTTCAGAAAAAATCATGGTTGCAGCATTTTAAATCTTCCTTTGACATCTTCATGGAATAATTTTCAAAAGGGATAATTTTCTACTAAAAATACCAGACCCCCCCCCCACTATATTCACTGCAAAGAGCAGTACACTCTTAGAAAGAAAATACTTTGCTTTACACACTTGCTTAAAGTTAATAAAGAAATAGCTCATTTTTAAAGCCAGGAGTTTATGGTCTCTGCATCATCGATTTAATTTAAGCATTGCCGAGACAATCTTTAATCTCCCCATTTTGTAATACCTTATTTATGATGCATTCTCGTTTTTAATTTGGGGGGAATGTTAGCCTGACGGAGCCAGCAGACAAAAGCGTTAAAGGACTTCAAATGGAAACAAAGGCTATTACCTACCATATTTCAGATGGGACTGAGGCACTTAGCCGAGGAGACACCAGGTTATTAGATTAATTTCAAAAGACCTTTTACAAGTTGCTTAACTCCACTGAGGGGATAAAAACCATGAACCACAAACCCAAATCTCCTTTCAAATGAGGTTATTTGACAAATGAGGCATGGACTCGGTGTTGTAGTAAAAGCGTCCCACTGTAATGAGAGCTTGGTCTTTCTTGTGAGGCTATGCTATTTATGTAAATATATCTGAGGCACCTTCTGTAACCTTTTAGTTTTCTATGATCTATTAGTTTAGTGTTTATTAAAAATAAACTACCCATATGTAGGATCACTCAGCATTCATGGGGAATGCTTATGAAGCAAATGTCTAATAGATCTGCTCAGAAGAACACAGGAACACTGCAAGCCCTCTGCGCTGTTCTCTTTGCCATTATTTTCACTGCTTTGAAAGGAAGCTGCATCAGAATAGGCCTTGTAATAAACACTGTGTGCATCTTCCATAATACCAAGCTAAGGCAGTTTGGCATTCTCCTACTGTGACCTGTGATTCGACAACCAAGAAAATAAAGGCTTCTGGTACCAACTGTACTTAATTAAAAAATAATTCAAGTATAAATTGAAGCTTAAGCCATGGTTGAAGACCA